AAAATCAAAAAGGATTAGCACTCGATTGCGGAAGCTGACTTGCTTGGTCAGGTACACAGACCTGCGGGGGTCGCACGAGCAGCGGCAGCGGTGAGGGACACAGGGCGGCACTTGTGCAGCATGGACTCACCCCCACCCACTCACTTCCATACCAAAAAGGCCAGGGAGCCGGACAGCTTCACTTTGGTGAAGGGCAGCTGGATCTGCGGAGCATGGGAGGGACAGCAAAGCGCAGTGACGTCGCCACGGGGCTGCCTCGCAACCACCCCCATGGGCACCTGGCCTGCCGGCGCCTGCCCCAGCCATCCAAACCGGCGGCCGCCCGCTCCCCCACCTCTGTCAGCGCCCTGTCGTCGCCCAGGTACGCCATGATGCCTAGGTTGAGGAACTCGACTGCGGCAGGCACACACGCAGCGGTGGGGATGAGCCAGCAGGCGGCGCAGACGTGCAGGCGACCGGTGGGGCGTGGCGAGTGCTTTTCTCGACCGCCCAGCGGCTGCCCTGCCCCCTCACATGGCTTTTTGTAATAGATGAGGCGGGGGGCGCCCTCCCCCTCCTCCCCTTCCTCCCCGCCCTCGTCGTCGTATGCCAGCGTGCTCCCCATGGTGGCGAAGAGCTGCTGCCCTGGGAAGAGGTAGTCGGCCAGCTTGCTGGGTGGGGGCTGCAGGGCGCGGGGCGCAGGGGGGTGGAAGCCACGAGTGAGCACATGCTGCGCTGGGGCTTGACAGGGGTGGCAGGCATGCCAGCACGGAGCCGCCAGAGAAGGCTAACGCAGGCAGCGCAGCCGCCCCGCTTGTGCCGGCAGCCAGCGAGAAGGCCGGGCTTGCCTGCTCCAGGCCTCCCACCAGCGGCATGAAGCCGCGGTTGATCATGTGCGCCGCATACGCGCCCTGCTGCCCCGCCACCTGCACGCCGCGACGCGCAGCAGGCAGGCGGGTGGGTGGCGGCGGGTCGTCCGCGTCCGGAAACACCGGTGAACGCACCCCACTCCCACTCCGCCACAAATCCAGGCACGGCCCAGCAGGGCGGCTGCCACCCGCTGCTTGCCTGCGCCGTGGTTGGCAGCCGGTCTCCCACCACCAGCGAGCAGTCGCCAATGGCCAGCACATCCCTGGCCCCAATCACTCTGCGGCGGCGGCGGCGATGGCGAGGCAGGCAGCGCTCGGGAAGGCGCCCCTCCCATGAGCTGCCGCTGCTCTGAGCAGGATCCTGTCGGTGCCAGCTGGCGCCCTGCCACGTCAGCCAGCCAGCCCCCACCTGAGGAAGGGGTCCACCGCCAGCTTGCTGGGCCGCCCTCCCGGCTGGTACTGCGCCTGCTCCGGGATCTGCTCCGCCAGCTGCTGCACCAGGGGCCGCGGCGCGTTGCCCGCGCTCCACACGCACACGCCATACTTGATTTCCTCGCCGCCCTTGAGCGTGATGGTGTCGTTGGTCACCTGCGGGCATGTGAGGAGGAATGCGGTGGTGGGTGTGCAGCGGGTGATGATGAAGCGTGCGTGTAGGAGCAAGAAGACCAAGCGCAACACGGGCAGGCGTGCAAAACCAGCAGGGCCATGCCGTGGCGGCGAGATGCTATCTTGCATCCCTTTGGCCTGCGAGCGGCTGCAGCTGCCAAGGGGGGAGGCCGTCAGTGCGGCGCACCTCCGTCACGCGCACGCCCGTCCGCACATCCACCCCCACGCGCTTGAAGTTGTCTAGTGCATGCTTCTGCATCCTGCACACAAACGCCACCGGCAGCGCAAGCCACCCGGCGCTCAGGCATCCTGCTCTGCGCAGGGGCGTTCATGCCAGGACCAGCACGCCAGGACCAGCATGCCAGCTGCTGCCTGATGCCACGAACCCTGCTGCTCGCTCACTTCTCGTCAAACGCCGACAGGATGGTGCCCTGAGAGTTGAGCAGCGTGACGCGCACATACGGCATCAGCTCGGGATACTTCTTCTTCAGATCCTCCCGCAGAAAGTCGCTCATAGTGCCGGCAAACTCCACGCCTGCGGCCCGCGGCGGCAGTCGCAAAGGATAGGCGAGAAGCAGCAGACGGAGAGCTTACAGACACTAAGTGCTGCTGCTGCAGCAGCAGCAGCAGCAACAGGTAGTGGCAGGCGGCAGGCAGCTGTGCAGACAGCTGCCGGGCCCGCGCGCACCTGTGGGCCCGCCGCCCACCACCACAAAGTGAAGCGCGGTCGCCATCTCCCCCTCCTGGCTCCCCGGCAGTGTGGCCAGCTCAAACTGCGACTGGATGCGCTCCCTGAGCCGCACGCTGTCGGGGATCTGCAGTAGGGGGGGGGGGGGGGGGGGGGGGG